ACAGGGCTCATGGTAGATGCCTGTAGTCCCAGCTGCTTGGGAGGCTGAGGTAGAAGGATCACTTGAGCCCAAGAGTTTGAAGTTGCTCTGAGTTATGATGCTATGGCACTCTACCCAAGGGTGACAAAGTGACACTTTGTCTCAAAAAAAAAAAAAAAAACCCAGCAGCAATCAGCTTAAAGAACCTTTAACTTACTCTCAGCACCTAGCCCAAAGTAGGCAATAGCCATGGTCTGTCCTCGAAGATGAGAAACAAGGAACACAACTATAAGAAATGCCACCATAGGCCAGGAGTGGTGGCTCACTCCTGTAATCTCAGCACTTGGCACTTGGAAGTCCAAGGTGGGTGGACTGCCTGAGCTTACAGGTTCAAGACCAGCCTCAGCCAGTGCGAGATTCCATCTTTAAAATAGAAGCCAGGTGTTGTGGTGGGCACCTGTAGTCCCAGCTGCTCAGGAAGCCGAGACAAGGATCACTTGAACCCAAGAATTTGTGGTTGCTGTGAGCTAAGACGCCATGGCACTCTACCAAGGGTGACCAAGAAAGACTTAAAAAAAAAAAAAGAATGCCACCACAGAACAGTTACTATAGAGAGAAGCAGCAGTCAAGGAAGGCTTATTGGGGGGCCAGGAGAATGAGTAGGATGGTAAGCAGGAAATTATTTTGCCCAGTTGTCTGCAAAGATAGGCTGTTTGGCATTTCACATTCTGGTGGTGGAATAAAGACTGAGTGGGAAAAGGGCAGAAAGACAGGCAGATTTCTGTAAAGTAACTTGCTTTATCCTGAGAGCTATAGGTGGGCCACCAAGGCACAGAATTTTCAGAAATAGCATGAAATGTATATTTCAGAAAAATCACAGCTATGTAGAAAATGGACAGGAGACTAGACTAAAGGTAGGGATCTGTGTTAGGTACCTGTTATATAACATAATGAAGTATTAAGAATCAAAGACAATGGCTCGGTGCCAGTAGCACAGTGGTTATAGCGCCAGCCATATACACTGAGACTGGAGGGTTTGAACCCAGTCAGGGCCATATAAGACAACAATGACAACAGCAACAAGAAAAATAGCCAGGCATTGTGGTGGGCGCCTGTAGTCCCAGCTACTTGGGAGGCTGAGGCAAGTGAATCACTTAAGCCCAAGAGTTGGAGGTTGCTGTGAGCTGTGATGCCACAGCACTCTACTAAGAGTGACACAGACTCTGTCTCAAAAAAAAAAAAAAAAGAATGAATCGAGGACAATGGCAAGTTAGAAGGAAAAGAGACTGTGGGAGTAGAAGTGATGTACAGGTTGAAGGAGAACAGGAGATAACTCCGGTTTTACTCCAGGGACTAGATGGCTTTATCCAAGATGCACATCAACTGTACTAATGGGGGAAATGAAGTTTTTGTTTTCATCACAGCTCACAGCAACCTCAAACTCTTGGGCTCAAAAGATCCTCTTGCCTCTACCTCCCCAGTAGCTGGGACTACAGGCCTGTGCCATCACATTTGGCTAGTTTTTTCTATGTTTAGTAGAGATGGGGGTCTTGCTCAGGCTGGTCTCAAACTCCTGAGCTCAAGCAATCCAACTGCCCCAGCCTCCCAGAGTGCTAGGATTATAGGCGTGGACTACTAGGCCCAGCCAAATTGTTTTTTATTTTTGCATATGTTTGGGTTGCCTGTAGGGCTTCTAAGAGGAGATGTGTAATACATAATTGGATATATGGACTTGGTTCTGTGCCAAGACTGTGGACAATACAATGAATAGTATTACCTTAGTTCCCCATTGCTCATTTAGTTATATTTACAAACTACTGGTATGTTATATAGACACAGAGGCAGATAAGCAGGAACAATTTATAATTGTCTATCTCCCTTTCACTGCTAAGAGCTGGAGAAATATATTAAAGGCTGAAAATTTGGAAGAACCAGACATCTACAAAATACATCTTTTTGGTTCTTTTCTTTAGCTCAATGACACTCAAGGTAAAGTGTGCATAAGCATCACGGAACCAGGCTATGCATGGTATTTCATGGGCAATAGATTTTTTTTTTTTTGAGACAGTCTATGTCACCCTTAGTGGAGTGCCATGGCATCACAGCTCAGAGCAACCTCCAACTCTTGGTCTTAAGCAATTCTCTTGCCTCAGCCTCCCAAGTAGCTGAGACTACAGGCGGCTGCCACAACACCCATCTATTTATACAGACAGGGTCTCACTCTGGCTTTGGCTGGTCTCAAATCTGTGAGCTCAGGTGATCCACCCACCTCAGCCTCCCTGAGTACTAGGTGTGAGCCACAGTGCCCAGCCTTTTTACTGCAAAGATTTTCTTCTTTTTACTTCAAAGATTTTCAAAAAAGGATTTTACTGCAAGATTTTCTCCATACAAACTGCCTTCAGAACCTAGTCCCCTAAATAAGTTGCAGCTCCAGTATAATCTTAGTATAAATAGTTTTAGCAGTAAATTTGGATGAAAAGCCTCCTTGAAAATTTTTTTTTTAATTTTCTACATTAACTGCTGTAATAGTTCCATCCAGAGTCTGTGTATGGACTGAGTAGAATATGCCAGTCCTCTCAAAGTACGTGCAATATTCTGTGTATATGCGCTGTAGTTTTTGTTGTTGTTGTTGTTGTTGTTTTCCTGGCAAGAGGATCCACAGTATTCATCAGGTTTTTAAAAGTATCCATATTCCCCACAAAGCAGGGAACTTAACAGGTAATGGAAAAAAAAATGATGCTTCTTATTTTGGGATGAGACTTATTTTATCAAATAGTGTTACAGGGGACCTAAATTCCTCCAGAGTTTAATGTTTGATGGATGTCTCAACTAATTTTTTTCTTTTTTTTTTTTTTGAGACAGAGTCTCACTTTGTCACGCTCAATAGAATGGACAGAATGCCATGGAGTCATAGCTCACAGCAACCTCAATCTTTTTTTTTTTTTTTTAAGAGACAGTCTCATTTTGTTGCCCTCGGTAGAGTGCTGTGACATCACAGCTCACAGCAACCTCCAGCTCTTGGGCTTAGGCAATTCTCCTGCCTCAGCCTCCCAAGTAGCTGGGAGTACAGGTGCCTGCCACAATGCCTGGCTATTTTTTGTTGCAGTTTGGCCAGGGCTGGGTTCAAACCTGCCATCCTTGGGGCCGGCACCCTACTCACTAAGCCACGGCACCATCCAACTTCAAACTCTTGGGCTCAAGCAATTCTCTCCCAGGAGCTGGGATTACAGGCATGAGCCACCTCGCCTGGCCTCCATTTTAAGTTTTTTAATTTTTTTTTTTTTTTTCCAAGACAGAGTCTCATTATGTCACCCTCTGGAGAGTGCTCTGGCATTATAGCTCACAGCAACCCCCAACTCTTGGGCTTAAGTGATTCTCTTGCCTCAGCCTCCCAACTAGCGGGGACTACAGGAACCCGCTACAGTGCCTGGCTATTTTTTCTTTTTTCTTGCAGTTGTCATTGTTGTTTAACAGGCCCTGGGCCAGGTTCGAACCCACCAGCCCCAGTGTATGTGGCCAGTGCCACAACCACTGAGCTATGGGTGCTGAACTTTAAAGTTTTTTTAATTTTAATTTTTATTTTACTTATTTTTAATTAATTTATTTATTTGTTTGTTTTGCAGTTTTGGGCCAGGGCTGTGTTTGAACCCACCACTTTCGGCATATAGGGCTGGCACCCCACACCCTTGAGCCACCAGTGCTACCCCTAATTTTTATTTGTTTGAGACAGAGTCCCTTTGTCACCCCTCTTAAGAATGCTGTGGCCTCATAGCTCATACCAATCTCTAACTCTTTGGCTCAAGTGATCCTCTCGCCTCAGCCTCCCAAGCATCTGGGACTACAGGTGCCTGCTACAATGCCTGGCTATTTTTAGAGATGGGGTCTTGCTGTTGCTCAGGCTGTTCTCCAACTCCTGAGTGCAGGTAATTCACCGCCTTGGCCTCCCAGAGAAACTCCTAAACTCAAAGAGATCCTCTCCACCTTGCCTTTCCAGAGTGCTAGGATTACAAGTATAAGCCACTGTGACTGGCTAATTCTATTTTTTTTTTTTTTTTTTTGAGACAGAGCCTCACGCTGTCGCCCTGGGGAGAATGCCGTGGCATCACAGCTCACAGCAACCCCCAACTCCTGGGCTCAAGCGATTCTCCCGCCTCTGCCTCCCAAGCAGTTGGGACCACAGGCGCCTGCCACAATGCCTCGCCATTTTTGTTGTTGTTGTTGTTGCAGCCATCATTATTGTTTGGCGGCCAGGGTTGGACTAGAACCCACCAGCTCAGGTGTATATGGCTGGCACCTTAGCCGCTTGAGCCACAGGCACCGAGCCTCTATTATTTTTTAAGATAACACTTAAAAAGAATTGCTTTAAAGTGATTTTTTGAAGGGTTAAGGAAACAGAAAATGATTTTAAATTTTACTGTTAAGAGTGGTATGATGTTCTAAAGTCACTCTTTGGCCATAACCCACCTTTGCACTTTAATTTCTCATTACTGCCAACATAATCCTTAGACACAGCTGGGTATCTGTGAGAGATTACTCTTTTTTTCTTTCCCCACCATGAACACACATTTATTGCAGAACAAAAACACACAAACTATAAGGAAAACATGTCTCAAAGAGAAGATCCCTCTTTGCAAGTGAAGAGACCTGCAAGATTCCTCTTCAATAAACCTTATACAGACCTATTTCTCAACATCGACTTTCTACCTAGAATTCCCTCTTCTCCCAGCCAGTTTAATTCTCTCTCTCCTTTTAAGATCCAAACTGAGTTCTTCCAGTAAGTTCCCCAACTGTCATAGCCCAGTTTTTCCTCTTCTCAGCTGCCAATTTCTTGTACATCTCATTATCTGGCAGTGATCACACACTACTCCATATAATAGGCTATCTATATGTGTACATTTAGATCCACCAACTAAACCTGAAGAAACTTGTTTTATTAACTCCCAGTTCAATGCCCAGTAAAGTGCTTTACAGAATAGGGTCTCAAATATAAGACAGTATTGACACTAAGAAAAAGAATATACCTTAAGTCTTTCTCTTCCTACATCTGGTTTGATGAACTTTCCCAAGAGCCGGTTTTCCTGTAACTTTCTTTTCCCACCAGTCTCTGGGCAAAGTATGGAGTTGCAAACTTGAACTGTAGTTTTATACTGGAACAGGGGCACATTCATTAAACTCTCCAAATTCTGAAATGGCCCAAACTTTTCTCTGTGCTCTACAATATTGGCGGATCTTCTTCCACGAAGCAATTTGAAAGCTTCAAGTTCTTTATTAGATGCTGTATTCAACACATGCAAGATGGAAGCCTGCTGTTCTGTAGAAAAGAGCTTACCAAGTGCATTTGCAGAGTCCTTTGCATTGTCATCACAAAAAGCCACACTGGAAGTAGTGTTCTTTGGTGCAGCGCCTTTTTTTCGACAGCAAGAATTATGTAGAGCCTGGAACAGGAATGATCCCGATGGAACTGGAAAGGATCTCCACCTTCCTAAAAGGAAAATTTAGCAAGATGTAAGTTGAGCCTAGTGCAGTGGTGCATGCCTGTAATCCCAGCACTTCGGGATACTGAGGTGGGAGGATGCAACCTACATAGTTTTTTTTAAAAATAGGACTTTTAGGCCTCCAACTCAGAGACATTTTGTGGAGGAAAGATATTCGTCCTACTAATCTTAGTCTGGGAAAATTTTTGGATTTTTTGGATTTTTTTCTGCCTTTATGATATATATTTTCTTCATTATTAACCTCAACTAAAATTAGTAGGTAAATTATCAAAATAAAAAACAGCACTCTGGCCGGGGGCAGTACCAGCACATGGGGAAACAGAGGTGGGTGGATTGCCTGACCTCACTAGTTAGAGACCAGCCTGATCAAGAGCGAGACAGCCCTGCTGTCTAAAAAACAGCCAGGCATTGTGGTGGGCGCCTGTAGTCCCAGTTACTTGGGAGGCTCAGGCAAGAGGATCGCTTGAACCCAAGAGTTTGAGGTTGCTGTGAGCTAAGACGCCATGCCACTCTATCAAGGGTAAACAAGTGAGACCCTGTCTCAAAAAAAAAAACAAAAAAACAGTACTTTTGTTATGTCACTAGAGATGTTTCATGTTCCTTATGAATCCCGAGTTTTACTACCTAGAAACTGTATGTTAAACCCACCAGGTGGCTTGGCGAGTGTGACTCAAGTGGCTAAGGCGCCAGCCACATACACCTATGACGGCTGCAACCAAAAACTAGCCAGGCGTTGTGGCGGGCGCCTGTGGTCCCAGCTACTTGAGAGGCTGAGGCAGGAGACTCGCTTGAGCCCAGGAGTTGGAGGTTGTTGTGAGCTGTGATGCCACAGCACTCTACCCAGGGTGACAGCTTGAGACTCTGTCTCAAAAAAAAAAAAAAAAACCCCACCAGGAATCATGCAGTCGAAATAATGATTTCAACTGGTGGTTAACGTTTTTGATATTTCTTAACCTTAGTGGGACCTTCTTGTAACTTGTATTTCCTTTCAAAATTTGTCTTTACTTCCATAGTTACTAGCATTTCATCCGGTGGAATCACATCAAATTACACGTGCTTATAGGAAATGTTTCAGCTAAGTGATGGATTTAAGGAAAATCACTCTAACACGGCAGCCACGGGAAAATAATACAGCCAGAAGTAGGCAAGAGGCTATTAGAATCGGAATCCTCCGCCTGCCACCCATCTGGGCAGGAGTCACCCACGGACCTTTAGGCCAAAGAAGCACAAAAGCTCAGACGAGCCGCTGGCTCCGAGAGAGGTACTTGGACTAGGGAAATGAAGAAGGAAATAAATAGTTCAGGATCCAGCGCTAATGAAAGATAGAAAATTAACCCAGAATTCCAGGTACCCTACCTCCCGCCATAAGGAAACTAGGGACGCTCATGTCGCAAGTTAAACCAGCAGG